AGCAATGGGAGGCCGTACAGGGACCCATCGAGAGACTCTGGTTAGCTTGGCAGCAGCATGAGGAGTGGACCATATAGGGGCCCATGGCAGATTAGGGCCGGCAGCAGCTATGTGAGGCCCGTTATCTATGCAGCACCCTATGTCAAAAAATTAAAACACACCAGCAGTGTGAAGAGACCTGAAAGTGGCACATGGCAGCAGAGTGTGGCGATGGAGACAGCAGCAATGGGAGGAGGCCGTACAGGGAACCCATGAGAGACTCTAGACTTGGGCAGCAGCATGAGGAGCGGGTATATAGGGGCCCATGGCAGATTAGGGCCTGGCAGCAGCTATCTTTGAAGGCCCCGTAATCTGCCTGCACCCTATGTCAAAAATTTAACACACACCAGCAGTGTGAAGAGACCTGAAAGTGGCACATGGCAGCAGAGTGTGGCGATGGAGACAGCAGCAATGAGGAGCCGTACAGGGACCCATGTGGAGACTCTAGACTTGGCAGCAGCATTTATTGAGGAGCGGGGGTATATCGGGCCCATGGCAATTAGGGGCCTGGCAGCAGCTTATAAGGTGAGGCCCGTAATCTGCCTGCACCCTATGTCAAAAAATTTTACACACCAGAATGTCGTGTGAAGAGACCTGAAAGTGGCCCACATGGCAGCAGAGTGCTGGCGATGGAGGACAGCAGCAATGGGAGGCCGTACAGGGACCCATGAGAGACTCCACGAAGACTTGGCAGCAGCATGAGGAGGCGGTTATATAGGGGCCCATGGCAGCTATTAGGGGCCTCGTGGCAGCAGCTATGTGAGCCGTAATCTGCCTGCACCCTATGTCAAAAATTTAACACACCAGCCTGCACAGCAATGTGTGAAGGACCCTGAAAGTGGCACATGGCAGCAGAGTGTTGCGATTGGAGACAGCAGCAATGGGAGGCGTACAGGGACCCTGAGAGACTCTGGACATCTGGCTGCAGCATGAGGAGGCGGTATATAGGGGCCCATGGCAGATTAGGGGCCTGGCAGCAGCTATGTGAGGCCCGTAATCTGCCTGCACCCTATGTTCAAAAAATTTAACGACACCAGCAGTGTGAAGAGAAGACCTGAAAGTGGCACATGGCAGCAGAGTGTGGCGATGGAGACAGCAGCAAAGGGGGAGGCCGTACAGGGACCCCATGAGAGACTCTGGACTTGGCAAAGCAGCATGAGGAGGCGGTATATAGGGGCCCATGGCAGATTAGGGGCCTGGCAGCAGCTATGTGAGGCCCGTAATCTGCCTGCAACCCTATGTCAAAAAAATTAAACACACCACACAGTGTGAAGAGACCTGAAAGTGGCACATGGCAGAGAGTGTGGCGATGGAGACAGCAGCAATGGGAGGCCGTACAGGACCCATGACAGACTCTAGACTTGGCAGCAGCATGAGGAGCGGTATATAGGGGACCCCCCATGGCAAATTAGGGGCCTGGCAGCAGCTATGTGAGGCCCGTAATCTGCCTGCACCCTATGTCAAAAAATTTAACACACCAGCAGTGTGAAGAGACCTGAAAGTGCACATGGCAGCCAGAGTGTGTTGGCGATGGAGACAGCAGCAATGGGAGGCCGTACAGGACCCATGAGAGACTCTGTGAGACTTGGCAGCAGCATGAGAGGCGTCCGTTTATAGGGGCCCATGGCAGATTAGGGGCCTGGCAGCAGCTATGTGAGGTTGGCCCGTAATCTGCCTGCACCCTATTGTCAAAAAATTTAACACCAACACCAGCAGTGTGAAGGAGACCTGAAAGTGGCACATGGCAGCAGAGTGTGGCGATGAGACAGCAGCAATGGGAGGCCGTACAGGGACCCATGAGAGACTCTGGACTTGGCAGCAGCATGATGTTTTGGGAGGCGGTATTATATGGGGCCCCATGGCAGATTAGGGGCCTGGCCAGCAGCTATGTGAGGGCCCGTTTGTAATCTTGCCTGCACCCTATGTCAAAAAATTTAACCACACCAGCAGTGTGAAGAGACCTGAAAGTGGCACATGGCAGCAGAGGTGTGGCGATGGAGACAGCAGCAATGGAGGCCGTACAGGGACCCATGAGAGACTCTGGACTTGGCAGCAGCATGAGGATGGCGGTATCTATCTAAGGGGCCCATGGCAGATTAGGGGCCTGGCAGCAGCTATGTGAGGCCCGTTAATCTGCCTGCACCCTATGTCAAAAAATTAACACACCCAGCAGTGTGAAGAGACCTGAAAGTGGCACATGGCAGAGGTGTGGCGATGGAGACAGCAGCAATGGGAGGCCGTACAGGGACCCATGACAGACTCTAGACTTGGCCAGCAGCATGAGGAGATGGCGGTATATAGGGGCCCATGGCAGATTAGGGGCCTGGCAGCAGCTATGTGAGGCCCGTAATCTGCCTGCACCCTATGTCAAAAAAATTTAACACACCAGCAGTGTGAGGAGACCTGAAAGTGGCACATGGCAGCAGAGTGTGGCGATGGATACTTTTTAGAGCGCAGCAGCAATGGGAGGCCCTTTTACAGGGACCCATGACAAAAAAGGAGACACTCAGTGTAGAAGAGACTTGGCAGCAGCATGAGGAGGCAGCATGGAAGGGTATATAGAGGGCCCAGGGCAGATTAGGGGGCCTGGCAGCAGCTATGTGAGGCCCGTTATCTGGCAGCACCCTATGTCAAAAAATTAAACACCACCAGCAGTGTGAAGAGTACCTGAAAGTGGCACATGGCAGCAGAGTGTGGCGATGGAGACAGCAGCAATGGGAGGCCGTACAGGGACCCATGAGAGACTCTAGACTTGGCAGCAGCATGAGGAGGCGGTATATAGAGGGCCCATGGCAGATTAGGGGCCTGGCAGCAGCTATTGAGGCCCGTTATCTTGCAGCACCCTATGTCAAAAAATTAAACACACCAGCATGGTGAAGAGACCTGAAAGTGGCACATGGCAGCAGAGTGTGGCGATGAGACAGCAGCAAACTTGGGGCAAGGACCCCGTACAGGGACCCATGAGAGACTCTAGACCTTGGCAGCAGCTTTCTCTCTATGAGTGGAGGAAAGTTATTATAGGGTGCCCATGAGAGGCAGATTAGACCGGGACCATGTACAGACCCTGCAGCAGCAGATGTGAGGCCCTAATCTGCCTGCACCCTATGTCAAAAAAATTAAACACACCAGCAGTGTGAAGAGACCTGAAAGTGGCACATGGCAGCAGAGGTGTGGCGATGGAGACAGCAGCAATGGGAGGCCGTACAGGACCCATGAGAGACTCTGGACTTGGCAGCAGCATGAGGAGGCGGTATATATAGGGGCCCATGGCAGATTAGGGGCCTGGCAGCAGCTATGTGAGGCCCGTTATCTGCAGCACCCTATGTCAAAAAATTAAACACACCATCAGTGTGAAGAGACCTGAAAGTGGCACATGGCAGCAGAGTGTGGCGATGGAGACAGCAAGCAATGGGAGGCGTACAGGGGACCCATGAGACAGACTCTAGACTTGGCAGCAGCATGAGGAGGCGGTTTATATATGGGCCCATGGGCAGATTAGGGCCTGGCAGCAGCTATGTGAGAGGCCCGTAATTCTGCCTGCACCCTATGGTCAAAAAATTTAACACACCAGCAGTGTGAAGAGAACCTGAAAGTGGCACATGCAGCAGCAGAGTGTGGCGATGGAGACAGCAGCAATGGGGAGGCCGTACAGGGACCGCATGACAGAGACTCATGGACTTTGGCAGCAGCATATGAGGAGGGTGGTTATATAGGGGCCCACCTGGCAGATTAGGGCCTGGCAGCTAAGCTATGTGAGGCCCGTTATCTTGCAGCACCCTATGTCAAAAAATTTAACACACCAGCATGGTGTGGAAGAGACCTGAAAGTGGCACACATGGCAGCAGAGTTGTGGCGATGGAGACAGCAGCAATGGCAAGACAATGGGAGGCCGTACAGGGAACCCATGACGGAGACTCTAGACTTGGCAAGCAGCATGAGGAGGGCGAGTATTCGAGAAATATAGGGCCCCAAGGCAGATTAGGGGCCTGGCAGCAGCTATGTGAGGCCCGTAATATCTGCCTGCACCCTAGTCAAAAAATTTAAACACACCAGCAAGTGTGAAGAGACCTGAAAGTGGGCACATGGCAGCAGAGTTTGTGCGATGGAGACTAGCAGCAATGGGAGGGCCGTACAGGGACCCATGAGACGACTCTAGACTTGGCAGCAGCATGAGGAGGCTGGTCGGCGGCCCCGGTAATAATAGGGCCCATGGGCAATGATTTAGGGACCTGGCAGCCAGCTTATGTGAGGCCCGTAATCTGCCTGCACCCTATTGTCAAAAAAATTTAAACACACCAGGGCAGTGTGAGGAGACCTGAAAGTGGCACATGGCAGCAGAGTGTGTGGCGATGGAGACAGCAGCAATGGGAGGCCGTACAGGGGACCCATGAGAAAGGTACTCTGGAACTTGGCAGCAGCATGAGGAGGCGTGCGGTATATAGTGGGCCCATGGCAGATTAGGGGCCTGGGCAGCAGCTATGTGAGGCCCGTAATCTGCCTGCAACCCTATGTCAAAAAATTTAACACACCAGCAGTGTGAAGAGACCTGAAAGTGGCACATGGCATGTCAGAGTGTGGCGATGGAGACAGCAGCAATGGGAGGCCGTACAGGGACCCATGAGAGACTCTGGACTTGGCAAGCAGCATGAGGAGTGAAGGCGGTATATATATGAGGGGCCATGAGCAGATTTAGGGCCTGGCAGCAGCTATGTGAGGCCCGTAATCTGCCTGCACCCTATGTCAAAAAAATTTAACACACACCAGCAGTGTGAAGAGACCTGAAAGTGGCACATGGCAGCAGAGTGTGGGCGATGGAGACAGCAGCAATGGTGAGGCCGTACAGGGACCCATGAGAGGACTCTGGACTTGGCAGCAGCATGAGGAGGCGGTATATAGGGGCCCATGGCAGATTAGGGGCCTGGCAGCAGCTATGTGAGGCCCGTAATCTGCCAGCACCCTATGTCAAAAAATTTAACACAACCAGCAGTGTGAAGTGAGAGACCTGAAAAAGTGGCACATGGCAGCAGAGTGTGGCGATGGAGACAGCAGCAATGGGGAGGCCGTACAGGGACCCATGAGAGACTCTGGAACTTGGCAGCAGCATGAGGAGGCGGTATTATAGGGGCCCATGGCAGATTAGGGGCCTGGCAGCAGCTATGTGTAGGCCCGTAATCTTGCCAGCACCCTATGTCAAAAAAATTAAACACACCAGCAGTGTGAAGAGACCTGAACTAAAGTGGCACAATGGCAGCAGAGTGGTGGCGATGGAGACAGCAGCAATGGGGAGGCCGTTATAGGGGACCCATGAGAGACTCGAAGACTTGCTAGCAGCATGAGGAGGCGGGTTATTTTAGAGGGGCCCATGGCAGATTAGGGGCCTGGCAGCAGCTATGTGAGGCCCGTTAATCTGCCTGCACCCTATGTCAAAAAATTTAGCACACCAGCAGTTGTGAAGAGGACCTGAAAGTGGCACATGGCAGCAGAGGGTGGCGATGGAGTCACAGCAGCAATGGGAGGCCCGTACAGGGGACTATTAGAGACTCTGTGGGACCTGGCAGCAGCATGAGGAGGCGGTATATAGGGGCCTATGGCGATGCGGGGCCTGGCCGCAGCTATAGGAGGCCCGTTAATCTGCCAGCGGAACCCTATGTCAAAAAATTAAAACACACCAGCAGTGTGAGGGACCTGAAAGTGGCACATGTTTGAGGATGATTTCATGGCGGATTTAGTCAGTTGGTTCAGGAATTGGGAGGGTTTAGGTATACCCAGAGTATGGCCACGTCCTCTGATTCATAGTTTTGCACAAAGTGAGGCTCTATCCACACTTTGGGTGGACAGTCGTGTCCTCCGGGAGGAGTTACAATACCTCCAGCCGCATGTCTAAAGTATCATCCTCTCCTGATGCCAGCGCTACGCGGATTATGGCCTGGGCCATGACAGCCATTCAAAGGGCAAATTCAGCTAGTTGGGGCCAAAGGTCAAGTTTGTTGCCCAGGAGTCAAGCGAGGGACTCCCTGCCAATCTACTCGGTTGGCAGGGTGCTGTCCAAGTACGGCCCAAGGGTGGCCTTTGTTAGGCAGCTCCTGCCTCCCAGGTCCACCTGATGCTGCCTGCTGCTGCGGTTGGGTCTTTCCACTTCCTCCCTGCGTGTGAAGACCTGAAAGCTACTCCATCAATCGACTGCAGACTGAGGCCAGCAGCACTGCTGGTGGAGCTGCCAGGGCTCCTATCCACCACCACCCCTCCCTGACTGGCATTGCCATGCGGAAGCTGGTGCGCCACAGGGCCCACAGTGGCTGAGGATGGACGTTGGCGCACAAAGGCAGCGATAGGGACCAACTGAGCTACCATAGGCGTGGTTTTTTATTCCAGTACAGACGTGCTAAATTTTGAGGGCCGCCCTCTCAGCAGGTGTGCAAATGGCCACCTTTTGGACCTGTGGTAGCGTAGGGGGTCCAACAAGGTGGACCAGCCAAAAGGTCTCCCTCAGGGAGCTGAATGGTTAGTTATTCGGCTGTCGCGCTGGCAAGCAACCGAGCAATGCTTATGGGCCATTTGTGCCAAAGGAAATGCGAGGGACTTCATGCCAGCCTACACCTCACCACAGCATGCGCACTGCATCACGTGTGGCGTATGGAGTCCTCTGTCCTCCTCCTCCTCGCCTCCTCTAACCGATGGCTCCTAGCTCCTCCACTCCTGGCCGCTGTCTGGAAAAACACCCATTTCACTCAATAATTCTGAGCGAAATGGACCTGCCTCTACCGTCCTCCTCTTCTTCTGTCCTGCCCCCCACAGGGGTCATGTTGCGCGTGTGGAGATACTGGGCGCCACGTCTACCCGCACTCCTGACCAGCCATTGGTTAACTGCATTTGTTCCTGGACGTGCTGCACAGAGGGAATGACGTTCACTTCGTTCATCCCATAGTTAGGCTCGGACTCACGAATAGCGTGGCCTCCTGCACGAGGGGACCTAACGAGGCAAGCGGCAGGTGTCACGCTTACGAAATGCCAATGGGCTGACGCTCTAAGTTACACAGTGGGTGAGTACCTTTATCCGCTTGTAACATCAGGATAAAATCGTGTGATGTGCTTTCGTTCTGCTCAAGGTATAAAGACGCGTGTTCTAACATGTGTAGGGTTGAATTCCACCTTGTTGCAACGTCGCAGATCAGGCGATGCTGTGGAATTCCGTTCTGCCGCTGCAGCTCAATGAGGGTTTCTTTGCGGTGTAGGAGATGGCTTGAAGCATGCGGAGCACTGAGTTTACCGTGACATTTTAAGGATGTCTTGCAGTGGCCAATGGTGGGATTGTATGGCACAAACTCCGCTTGACAACTCAGATTGAACACTGTCTGAGCATGCATGGCGCGATGGCACCAAACCGATTCCTTGACGCAGAGCAAGGCCACCATGGTTCTTTCCGTTGTCAGTCAACATGGTTCCGTGTTTGAGTTAGTTTGCGCTCTGGGTGAGACAGCCATCTTGTCGATTTCTGTGTTCATACACTTCAGCAGTTCCTCCCCTGTGTGACTACGTTCGCCAAGGCAGGACCAGGTGCAGCACAGCGTGACAACCGTTGCGCCCTGCACATGTGAGATTGTGCCAGTCTCGGTCGGGTAATGGACTTTGGCACGGGCTGGTGGCGGCTGAGGACACGGCGGGAATAAGAAAACTAAAAGGGAAAAAAAAAGAGCTGGTAGAGGCGGGACAATGCTTGCTGGACCAAGGACGTGCAAATTACGGTGTGGAGGCAAAAGCGTCGTGACACTGTCCAAGTTGCTGCTGTGCCGGGGCTGTGCCGCACCACGTTCACCCAGTGGGCCGTAAATTGACATGTACTGTCCCTGACCGTAGTTACAGGGGCTCCACACAATGTCGGCGGCTGCCGTGCACTATTTGGTCAGAGAGGCCGACATGCTCAACGAGGCTGGCCCACCATCTCTGTCTGACATGTGAAATTGCAGGGCTGGCACTGTGCCTTTTGGGCAAAGAAAAATGAACGGTTCTTGGCACTCTGCCACCGCGGCGCGGCACAAGCCATCATTTCTTCGGAAATAGGTGCTGAGTCCACCAGTTGGAAAGGGAGGGACTTGCAGCACCAGCAACTTGGACAGGAGGACGTGTCCAGCTTTATGCACCGTTCGGGTGCTTTGCGTCGCAAAACTGGTTACTCTATGGGTTACGGATTCCAAGAAAGACTGTTGACGGAATCCGAGAAGAGGAGTAGTAGCAGGAGGAAGGAGCATCTGAACGAGCGGAAGATGCCAAAACGAGCGACAACTCCCCTCAGCAGAGGTGTTGGAGCCTTGACTGGCTGATAGAGGGCGATTGACGACGTCGGGTGACGGATGCAAGTAAACGAGCGGGTGATGGATGCGGGGGCTGGGGCAGGCAGAACCGCCGTTTGTGGTATGTTTATCACGGTGCCCCCCCCCCCCCCCCACCCCCCCCCCCCAGGCCACCGAATGGTGACGCTTATGCATATGGCCTGACGCAACGCTGTAGTCCCAACATGGGCCCCCCCTGGCCACCGCTTGCATTTCTGGCCCATAGTCGACATTACGGCTACGTTTACGACTTCCTCGGGCGGCCTTGAGGAAAAATGTTGCCACACCACCGAGTAGGAAACTTTGCCCCCGCTACTTCTTCACTGGCTGACTGCTACTTCCTCTTGTGCTGCACACGGCAAACCAAATACCACTTACTGGCATCCGTTGAGGTGGGGGTAGGCTGCAAGTGGAGCTGAGTAACAGTTCTACCACCGTGGGACGTTTGGCTCCATTCTGACACTGATGCGAGGTCCCTGCTGCTGTCTCCTGGGCAAAACCATCCACGATTTTGTTTTGCTTCGCTGCCTTGAAGCTGCCACCCTCTTCTCCTGATAACATATGCAGCTGTGTAAAGAAATTGCCTGATGACGAAGAGGCTGCCAAGTGCGTATCAACCTCCTCATAAGATAAAGTTAGGGTCTCCGCCTCAGACTACTAGCCCCCTGCTGGCTGCGTCAAGTCTGGGTCTGTGAGACAGTAACCTGTCTCTAGGACCGGCTACCGGGAGCCACTCTCCTCGTCAGTACAATTTGTTCCGCGTGTTGGGCTGCTGAAAAAGTGCTGCGATGTTCTGCCCCCCCGTTCCTCTGACCGCCCTCTGTTAGGCTCTTCCTCACTGTACAGTGGGGCTGAGCCACAGCATGCGATACTTCGCTTGGTGAGGGAACAGCAAAGGACAGGGGCAGGTAGAGGACACGTGATTTCAGTGGGCTTGCTCCCGGGCCATGCCAACTAACGGTTGTGTCTGACGTACCCACCGACCGTTGGCTGTAGGTGTCAGAGGTGACCTGGGTAGAGGAAGACAAGTAGACGAGGCCAACCAATCAATGACGGCAGGGTTGTCGGTGGAGACACGACCGCTGGATGACACCCGGGAGCAACTTGGCCTCTGGCTGCGAATATACTGCTGCCTCGACCCCTTCCTCTGCTGCCACGTGTTGCTCGCTCCTAAAACATTGCCTCCTCTGCACCCTCTCCTCTGCATGTTGTCCTGACATACTATCTATTTAAATTCAACGATTCATGGTGTCCCTGAGTAACAATTCTTCTGGCACTCAGTAACAATTCTGTCTGTCCTGAGTATGAATTCTGTGGCCCTGAGTACAAACAATTCTGTGTCTGTGCGTGTAACAAATTCTGTGTCTGTGCGAGTAAATACAATTCTGTGTCTGTGCAAGTAACAATTTTGTGTCTGTGCGAGTAACAATTCTCTGGCACTCAGTAACAATTCTGTCTGTCCCCTGAGTAACAATTCTCTGGCACTCAGTAAAAACAATTCTGTCTGTCCCTGAGTAAAACAATTCTCTGGCACTCAGTAAACAATTCTGTCTGTCCCTGAATAACAATTCTCTGGCTACTCAGTAACAATTCTGTCTGTCCCTGAGTATGAATTCTGTGCCCCTGAGTAACAATTCTGTGTCTGTGCCCGAGTAACAATTCTGTGGTCTGTGCAAGTAAACAATTTGTGTGTCTGTTGCGAGTAAACAATTCTCTGGCACTCAGTAACAATTCTGTCTGTCCCTGAGTAACAATTTCTCTGGCACTCAGTAACAATTCTGTCTGTCCCTGAGTAACAATTCTCTGGCACTCAGTAAACAATTCATGTCTGTGTCCTGAGTAACAATTCTCTGGCACTCAGTAACAATTCTGTGTCTGTGCGAGTAACTAATTCTGTGGTCTGTGCAAGTAGTAACAATTTTGTGTCTGTGCGAGTAACAATTCTCTGGCATCTCAGTAACAATTCTGTCTGTCCCTGAGTAACAATTCTCTGGCACTCAGTAACAATTCTGTCTGTCCCTGAGTAACAATTCTCTGGCATCTCAGTAACAATTTCTGTCTGTCCCTGAGTATGAATTCTGTGGCCCTGAGTAACAATTCTGTGTCTGTGCGAGTAACTAATTCTGTGTCTGTGCAAGTGTAACAATTTTGTGTCTGTGCGAGTAACAATTCTCTGGCACTCAGTGAACAATTCTGTCTGGCCCCCTGAGTAACAATTCTCTGGCACTCAGTAACAATT